ATATACGGTCTTAGTTTTATTGAATGCTTATATGAAGTTGTACAAATAAAGACAATGATTAATAAACAATAAAATACTATACGAAAAAATATACATAACATAAATTATAATGAATAAATTTTACATATATAAATATATATGTATATATAAGCAATTCTATAAAAAGAATTATGATAAAATGAAATATATCGTGCAATATAACCAATAATATTATATTTTCGTATAAGAATAAATATATACAAAAAGATAAATTCTTTTATAATATTATGGCATATTAACATAATAAAAATAATATAAGTATAATATCATTTACATACCATACCCATACTTTTAATTTAATACACATAAAAGCAAAATACAATATTAATAAACAAAATCAATCATTATAATATAATTCTAAACCAAGATCGTTAAAATCGATCCATGTATTAATAAAAACAACAGGAGCTATAATATGAGGACGATAAACATGAATAATTATTTCAAATACTAAAATTTAAAACCTGTATACTTAACCCTAAACCTGAACGCTGAACTTTATAAAATATAATCTGTATTCATTAAATCTACCTATATTTTTACTAGTATCCTACCGTGTTATATAATAATGTATAATTTTTAACAGTTAAATTTTTGTATTATGTTTCAAATGAGTAACTTATTTTAAGTGCTTCATTCATTTTTTCCAAAATTCCTTTAGCTTCATTACATTTGTTTATATGTAAGATCCATAATGAGTATATTGAAAATAAAGAAATAAACTTATGTTTGTAATAATGTTGAATTCATGTGATATTTAAATTATATAAAAGCTTGTTTTATAAATTATAATATCATACAATTTGTATAAAATTAATATATTATTAATCTTATATAAAATAAATGTAGTTATTGATATAAGATTAATTACAAGGAATGAAGCTACAAAAGTCTTGTGTGCATATCCCCCATAATAAGAATATAGAAATTTAGGAACGGTTCTGCATCCAGGCCGTGTCTTCATGTTTGAGTTATATTCATATTTAAAGTTTTTCAAAATATCATTAAAACTGTTGTTATTGCTATTTTATTTTATTAACATAAGCTCTCTATTATTTTTATAGCATTAAACACCATAGGTACAACTATAAGGAGGACAATTTAAATATAAACAATTATAATACAAATGTTTTAATTTTTTCATAATGTAATAAGTACTATCACTAATATCAACAACATGGCCATTGCATAAATCAAATACATCGTTACGAATATTTTCTCTCTACTTTTTCTTTATTTCATAACATTTTCTTTATCCTCCGAACAATTAGGATTACTAAATTTTAGATTATCTTTCAGCTTGTAGCTCAAGTATTTACATTATTCCTTTATTTTATCATCTATTTTTGTGCACATATCATTATATTAAACCTTATTCTCTTGATCCTTATGATCCTCATAATCTTCTATATTAGTATATGTAGAATTATAATAATCTTCCATACACGTGGGAAAAATATTCTTAAAATCAAACTAAAGAATAAGGCCATTATGTATGAAAAAAAATAATTCAACAAGATAATGTAAAAATTATGTACATCATGTTTATATATCATGGTATTTTAAAGCTAGTAGATATAAACTATAGATATAATGACAAATAAAAACGTATATCCATGTCTACAGATATAGTATTACCCATATTATCAAATGCAAGTTAATTAATAAAATGCAAAATTTTTTAATTTCTTATAATTTATAAACAATTATATGATAAACATGTCCAAACCAATGCTATATAGAAATAATACAAGTTAATTATTGTAACTCTTAAGTTTTCACAATTACATGTAATAACGGTTCATATTAAGCATTTATATATATTAAAGTATGGAACCATTATGCACTGAATGGTGTAATTTTACATATAAATAATTTGAAAAAAAAATTTCTAAATGTGTTATATAACAATATTAATGCATAATCATTACTTAAATATTATGTTGTATATATTTCATATATACAATATATTAGTTCTCCGCCATAATAATTTATTTAAAATATATGCACTCATGCTATCAATAATTTCTCCTAATTTATTTATTATGCAATTTTTATTTTCTTTTAAATGTTGGAATTAATGCATACATTTATAAAATATAAAACCTTATTATAAAGGATATATACTTTAATATGAAGAATGTATTCGAAATTCCGTAATATTATATTATGACATTTTATTTAATATGTAAAAAATGATTTATGCTTTGGACTAGACATAAGGAAATTAATACTTCCATGTTACTCTTTATAATATCTGTTATGAATTCAACATTTTAAGGATTAGATATAATTAGATATTTGAAATATTTAAAAAATACATTTAAGTATTAAAATATTACTTTTAATTTTATATATATTGGAATTAGAAGATTCTGAAATATATGTAATCTTTATAATGTCATAGATATATATGTAAATATTTAAAATGCTTTTTTGTAATTCATTACATGAAAATGTACATTGTTATAAACACTGTGGAAGAAAATTAATCAAATGTTTATGTAGAAATTATGAATAAGTTAATTCTTCATTATAGTACAAATTGCTTAATTATTGCAAAATAAATTTTTTAATTAAATTATCGAATTATATTACAAAAATATATAAATAAACTATATGTTTTTTGATTGAAAAGATTAATCAAATTTATATTAATCACAACATCACATAGATCGAAAAAAGTTATAATTATTTTATAATTTCTTGAAATACACATACAATATTCTGAAATGGTGTCATACAATAACTATATATTTAAATGAATCCTAATATTTTAATAGCATTGATTAAAAGTAGTTATAAGTTTCGTTAAAATATATATGGTGTTAAAAAAGACATAAAATACTTTTGACATTATTTATGATTAGTTGCCTTTATGTATAAATATTATAATGTATTTTTTTTATTAACAACTATTATATAAATAAAAATAAATGTAAGGATTATTCATATATATCTAAGTATATTTAGTTCAATTTATATATAATAATAATATACGAAATCATGATAGATTATGAAAAAATATATATAAATAAAAAGGATTTAAAGAATATTACGATAATATATATAAGCCAATAATAATTATTAAATAAGGAATTAAAAATTAATAGCATAAAATATTATATTGAAATATGAACGAATCATTTAGATAATTCATTATATTTATAATACATTTAATATAAAATAATTTATAATGAAATAATAACAAAATTATAAATCCCAAAAAAATTATAATTAAATTATAAAGCAACATATCTATAGATAATATGAAATGTTTGAACATTTGCCTCTTAAACTGGAAGCCTCAAATTGAATGTATGAAATTTTAAAAAATAAATGATTAACTATAAACCATGTATGTAAATCCTGAACTCTGATAAATGATAATATGATGTGATCATATTTAATAATGCGTTAATATGTTACTTCATTCTGAGATCAATTTTATCTAAAAGTCATAATTATCACAAAATTTTGAAAATTCTACTACATTATTCCCTATTATTATAAATATTGTGGAAGGTAACTTAAATAATGCATGAACCTTAAAACTAAATTTATTTATAAAATAAATATTATAAGATATATAACATGAAAATATCACTTAAAAAAATTTAATGATTTTTTATCATTATGATATATGTATTATAAAAAAATCAGGAAATATTAATGTATCATATAAAACTTAGGCTTTGTTTTTATATAATATATGAGCAAAATATTTATTATAATATATTACTTTCTCATTAATGAACTAAATACTATAATGTATAATAATATATTATTGTTGAATGCACTTACTTTTTTGTGCATATATAACGCGATTTCAATTTTATAATGATCAATACAAGTGAAATGTTTAATGAATAAAATATTAAATTAGGTATTACCATAAATAACAAAATAATAAAATACTTTATTCAAATAGATATCTTAACTATTTTATTATTTCTTAGATATTACACGTGCGATGTTCCTTTCATAAGGATTTTGTTCTGTTATAATATTAAGAAATACAATTCTATATAAAATAATAAAAAATGAAAGAAAAATTATTATTAAGAAAATAAATTTAATGTATTAAATATTGTGTAATTTATATCTTATGCTATAATTATTTTACTCACAATTTATGCTATTTCTAATGTTAACAAAGAATATATTATAAGAATTGTCATTGAATGCTCACAATATATAACGGGTAATGATAGTTCGTGTATTACATATGTATATATATATAGATTATGGTTATCTTAAGTTATCAGGTATATTACTCGTTTATACAATATTTCAATCATTAATATATATATATGTTGTATAAAAAGAAAATATATTTATAATTATAAATTGCATTATTTCAAAAAAAAAGCTTAAAATATATTTATTTTTTTATTATATTTTCCATGTTAAAGTTATATTAGAATCATTTAAATTGCTAAAGTTATTTTTAATAAGCGGATAACATATATACTATATAAATAAAAGGGAATTACTAAATACTCAGCAATAAATCTTAAACTGTATATCTTTTGAATTATGATTTAAAAATAAATATGATTTTTCTTCTTAAAAAATTCTTTACTTTTTATATCTTTAAGTTTATATAATTATTAGAATGTAACCTTTTTTTAAAAATATAATTACAACAACATTTTAGGCAATATATATATATATGTTCAAATGAGTTGATGTACTTTTTATATGAATTATCTAGTTATTATTAATATTAGAATAATATTTATTCATATATTATGCATTAATTTTTAAAAATCGTTATTTTAACGCTTTTAAATATCATTATTTTATTAATTAATCTGCAAAATAATAAAATCCTTTTTAAAATGGTTAAACATATAACATTTTTGAATTATTATAATGTCAAGTACAATATTATAATAATTATGTATATCTTTTTTGATATTTATTTTATGAATTTATTCAGAAAGTAATAATTTTTATCATACTACGACTATTTTATTATTTTTAGGATGAATATACATATTCATTATTCTGCAAATGTGAAGAAATTATAGATGGCATAAATCGAAGACAAGCAGTGAGTATTTACCAAGATAAGTGTAATAATATTGATGATAATTATTCTGATATTTTTAACTCCAATATTAAAGAAATATGCTGTCAATCCCTGGAATATTTAAATAAAGTATATAATGGAATACATTATGATTTATTATACAAAACTGGTTTTAAATACTTGTATTATTGGCTATATAAGCATAAATTTAAAAGTAATAAAGAAAGTTCAAATTTTAAAGTCATTTATAAAGAAATAATCAAAATATTTAATGACGAAATTAGCAGTGTAACTTATGATAAGGATTATCAAAGTGTTACT